CTGTTCATAGTTAGTTCCTAGTACAGTGCCTGGTATATATTAGGCACTTAATAAATAGAAGATGATTGGATGAGTGAAAGAATGACCATATGCTCATCAATAATATCTGTCGTTGTAAACAGGGTTTCTCACTTGGAGTTGGTTGAAAAATCACTGAACTTTCCTTTTCCATTTTCTTTTTGTCAGATATTGACCTGGAGTCAGCATGTTTTTTGAGTATGGAATATTGAAACATAAATTAAGAACTTTCATCTTAGAATAGTTTCCAAAGTAAAACACTTAATAATAAAAAACACCAATAATGCATAGACATACAGTGTCTAAATACTAAAGTATTATATCCTACTAGGACAATCTTACATTAAAAACTATTATTTTGAGGATATTAGATTATATGTCTGAAAATATGTCAATTTATGAAACTGAAAATCATTTAATTCAGTGATGATTCCAACCATGTTACCCTCACATGTATTGTGTTTTCCTGTATATACTGTATTTTGAAAGAAAATCTAAAAAATGATCTTTGTTTCCACTGGCTTTATGGTAATACAAGAAGTATAGTAGTGTCTATAAAAGTTTATGAAAGTTTCCATTCTCTTCTGCCTCCTTTTTTCCATTTTCTTGTCTGAATTTAATTTTCTTGTAGGCTCAATACTTGAATATGTTATTTAAGAAAAAGAATAAATGTAAGTAAGATAAAGGTGTATTCTAGGGAGAAAAACATGTTTTCTAGGAGGAAAAAAAGCTGTACATTTGCTTCAGACCACATCTTCAATATTAAGCAGTAATTTAATGTCGAACAGTAAATGATTTTGTATTCTCGTCTTTTGGCATTCATGTTTGTTGTCATTTGCTTACTTTTTATGTTAAGCCAATTGAAATTCCCCTAAGTCAGGTTATAGTTTGGTAATACATCATCCTTTGAGTTGTATAACTTTTGAAGTATTGAATTAACTTTGATGTTGAACTTTTTGGAACAACAGCTAACACATAAAATAGTTGTAAGTATTTAATGTTTTGGTTTTAAAAAATATTTATTGTTTATTAGAGAATTACTCTCCTGCAAGTATGGTGACTGAAGTTCTATGGATACTCTGTGATCAAAAAGAATGCGCGGTGGAATGCTTATATAACAACATTGTAATAGAGACACTTCTTCAGCCTATTCACAATTTAATGAAAGGAACTGAGGTTGGTATTATTTACTAAGGAGAAAAAGAGTCTCTTACCTGGGACTTTATTTCTAAATTTGAAATGTTTTATTATGCTGTCCTTCCATGTATGAATGTATTTTGTGTTGATATATATTTTTATTTAGTATTAAATTATAACTCATGCCGTTGATTGATTTATTATGATATGCAGAGGGAAAGTACATAGAATATCCAATTTTTTTTTTAAAATCAGGACTAGATCTGCTGATGCAAATAACTTAGAAAAGTTATTCTATTAAGAAGTTATTTGTTTTGCAAATCTAATAAATCTTGTAAATGTTTTGTTATTTGTTTTACGGCATTTTTATAGCTTTTAGAAGTGTGATTATTTTCCTTAGTAACCAACTCTGTTTTATATTAAGAAGAACTGGTATTACTTTAGAGAGAACACTTATATAGAATTCCAATTTGAACAGATGTATGTCTCTTTACAGTTTGCACAGCATATTCCCTTACATTATATAATTTAATAATCACAACTGAGGCTGAAATAAGTGACTTGCTTGCTCTAGGTCAGACATTTAACAAGTTGCAGAGTTGCTACTGTTACTAGTTTGGGTGTCTATTCAGTACCTCCCTCTACTTGTGACTTAAACTTCTGGGCAGTGATTTTTAAGGCTTATCAGTAGGTTAAAAGCTTTTGCCTTTTTGTATCCGTTTTGAAGTGTTTTTACTATTTTCATCTTTCTCTTATGTTCTTTTCTGCTTGTTGCTTGCTAGGTAAACTTGGCAAATGCAAGTTTTCTGTCCCCTAACTACTTTCTTTCTTATATATTCCAGTTGTAATAGATAATTTGCACTTTCTAAATAAGGTTATTATATCTCCTTGGGTTTGAATACTTTTTCTTCACCCTAGTCCACATGAAAAAATTCCTCTTTAGACTAGAGTTTATCTTTGAAATTTCCTCCCAGTTCTCCTTTGCAAAGTTAGGTGGGTTTTTTCTCTGTGTTCCCATGTTATGTACTTCTGTAGTTGTACTTATGTTATGCTTGAATTATTTATTCTTAACAGTAGTCCTCTGGCACATAGTGGACACTCAGTATCTAATTTAAGACATCCAGCATCACCCATTGAGCTTCTGCTGTATCATTAGCTCTCTGCTGGGTACTGCAAATATATAAGTGAATAATACATGTTTATTGCCTTTAAGAAGCCTACTGTAATAGGCAAGGCAGACCTTTAAACCAAAAATATTTAAAATGAGGAATAGAAAGTTTTAAAATACTGTGTTTTTATGTATATAGTCATGAGAGAATATATATAGTCTCGTATGTGAGAGAAGGAATGTATTCTAAGGAGAGAAATTATTTTAAGAAAGATATTTAATATGAAAAATGATATACTTTTTGTGTTAAGTAGTAAGAATAGTGCTATTCATATTAAACAATAGGATTAGTAATAATTATCTTTAGGTGAATATACCTGACTAATCATTAGTTAGGCTAGCCTACTAAATCTATTAGAATGTATTGATTGCAACATTTACATTTTCAAATGTATTATAGATGATATGTGTGTTGGCATCCGTGCAGGTTCAGGTAAATACGTAGACCCCACAAAGAACAGGAATTATAATACTGTAGATGCCCTCTAGCATTGACATGGCTCTCTGGTTTTCAGTGTGTGCTTTGTGCTGCTTTGGTATATATTGGCAAAGGCATTTTAGTACTTTCATTTGAAAGCAAAAGTGAGCAAATATGGTTGGTTCAGTCTTTGTTTTCTTATTAGGTGACATCATTGACTATTGGCCAGCCCATGAATTGGCTATCCTTAGTCGGATGTACATTCATGACGCAAATGTGTATAAGAGGATGACACCCTTAGAAGGGATGGCAGTGTGTTAGATATCATATATAATGTAATTATATTGGATACTCAGGAGCCCAGTGGGTGGGAAATAAAGGGCAAAGTGGAAATACAAGGTCTACTACCTTTGCCAACCAGAAATACATATAAAACTGTAACAAGAGCAGAAGTTCTTAATAATTCTTAATTACTTTGGGTGAAAAAAAATCTGTATTTATTTGCTTCATTAGTTGGGCTGATAAAATAATATAATCTAATAACACATTTTATTCAGACATATTATTTCACAGCCAAACAAATCATTAAGCTTGTTTTTTGTTGTGATAATATAGCTTTACGAGACTATATACAATCCTTGAATTTTAGTCTGTGATATGTTAGTATGTCATTAAATTATGTGATTTGTCTTGTTTTCTTTTTAATGTACAGGCATCTCCAAATTGCTCTGAGACAGCTTTAATTCATATAGCTGGTATTTTGGCAAGAATTGCATCTGTAGAAGAAGGACTTATTTTACTCCTTTATGGAGCAAATATGAACTCTTCTCAAGAAAGGTATGTGCTATTTTAAATCTGGATAATTATTCCAGGTATAGTTTGGTTTTCTCACAAGCCACTAATAATATATTAAATGATCTAAAAAAAGTTGGAATAACCAGGATTATGGACTATGCAGGCAGAGTAGACCTTGACGTCTGTAATTTCAAACTAAGGAGAGTTCGCTCTTGATGGGTCTCCTTACCCCCCCATTGTCTGCTCCCTTGTATTTTCACTTACATACTTTTGTCACACATGATTAAGTCAAACCAAAGATGTGCAAAGAAGCTAGGTACTTTTTTCTTCCTCCTCTAGTTCCTATTTTCTCACTTAACCAATGATAATATTTTAGTGTTTACACTTCTAGACTTTCTCTGTGCTTATAATTATCCAGTGCATCAGACAGACCTACATATAAGCAGTCATATTTTTATCTTCTCTTTACAAAAATGGTATTATATTTTTTATACATTACCCTGAAGCTTGATTTATTTTATAACTATGGGAATTTTCTTAGGTGAATACAGAATGAAACATGATTTTTAATGGCTGCATTATACTTTTGTGTATAGCTTTACCACAATTTATTCAAACGTTTTCCCTCTTAGTGAACATCAGATTGTGTCTAGGATTTTTCCCTCCATAAATAACACTGCAATAAGTGTTCTTTTTTTATTTAACTTGATATTACATTAATTGATGTTCGAATGCTGAGCCAGTTTTATATACCTGAAATAAATCTCACTTGTTCATGATGTATAAATCATTCTTACACTTTTTTGGCTTTCATTTGCTAATATTTATTGAGGATTTTTGCCTCTATGTTCATGAGATATATCAGTCTGCAGAATTTGTAATGTCTTTGTTTGGTTTTGGTATTATTGGAATGGTGACCTCATAATAAACGAGAAGTTATTCTTTCTGTCTTCTGGAGGGTATGACATAGAATTGGTTTAATTTCTTCATAAAATATTTTATAAAATTCACCAATTTTAGCCTGGTGTTTTTAATTTGGAAAGGTAATAAGTAATGAATCAAATTTTTTTAATAAACAGAGCCTATTCAGATTGTCTACTTGCTCTTTTGTGAATGTTGGCAAAATATGTCTTTCAAGGAAAGGGTCAATTTATCTAAATTATCAAATTTGTGGGCACAGAATTGTTCATAATATTTCCTTATCCTTTTAATATCATTGAAATGAGTAGTGATGGCCCCTCTTTCACTTCTGATGTTAGTAATTTGTGTCTTCTCTTTTTTTTTCCTTAGTTAACCTGACTAGAGCTTATAAATTTCACTGTTCTTTTCAAAAAACTAACTTCTAACTTTCGGTTTTGTTGATTTTTCTCTATTGATTTAATGTTTTTAATTTTATTGATTTCTCTTCTAATTTTTATTTCTTTTCTTCTTACTTTGGATTTAATTTTCTCTTACTAGTTTTCTATGGTGGAAGCTTAGATGATTAGTTTTAGCTCTTTTCTTCTTTTATAATATTTGTACTTTTATACTTGTACTTAATGCTATAAATTTCCCTCTAAACCACGTCTTTCTTACATCTCATAGTTTTGGTAAGTTGTATCTTCATTTTTCATTTAGTTCAAAATATTTCCATTTTCTCTTGAGATTTCTTTTACCCTTGTGTTTTTTTGTTTTTTGTTTTTTTTTTTGTTTTTTTGAGATAGAGTCTTGCTCTGTCACCCTGGCTGGAGTACGGTAGCGTGATTTTGGCTCACTGCAAACTCCGCCTTCTGGGTTGAAGCAATTCTGGTACCTCAACCTCCCGAGTAGCTGGTACTACAGGTGCATGCCACCATGCCTGGCTAATTTTTATGTTTTTATTAGAGATGGGCTTTCACCATGCTGGCCAGGCTGGTCTGGAGCTCCTGACCTCAAGTGATTCACCTGCCTTGGCCCCCAAAGTGCTGGGATTACAGACCTGAGCCACTGCTCCCAACCCTTGTGTTTTTACAGATCTGACAGCACACTTTATATAATTTCTAGTTTTTAAAGTTTATTGTATGTTTTATGGCCCAGAAAGTGGCATCTTAGTGAATTATCTGTGTGAGCTTATGTAATATATATTCTACTATTGTTGGATGTCAATCATATTCAGTTGATTGATTTTACTGTTTGGTTCAACTTTGACTTTACTGACATCCTGCTGAATCTGTCAATTACTGATAGAGGTATGTTGAAATCTCCAGCTCTATTAGTGAATTCATCTTTTTCTCCCTGCAGTTCTATCAGTTTTTGATTTCAGTATTTTGATGCTTTGTTGTTATGTGCATACAAATTAAAGATTGTTATGTCTTCTTGGAAAATTGACCCTTCTATTATGATTTAATGTTCATTTTTACCCTTGATAATTTTCCTTGCTTTGAAGACTGCTTTGTCTGAAACTAATGCAGCTACTCCAACTTTCTTTTGATTATTGTTAGCATGGTATGTATTTCCTCCATTCTTCTTTTACTTTTAATTTATCTTCGTCTTTATGTTTAAAGTGTAAAGTGGGATTTTTATAGACAATATATAGTTGGGTCTTGACTTTTAATCTACCTTGATAATCTTTTATTGACATATTTATGACATTAACAATTAATTATTGATATGATTAAATTAATACTTACCATATTTTTTGCCCTTGGTGTTTTGGGTTTTTTTTTTGTCTTTTACTCTTTTTGCCTTATCTGGCTTTGACTGAGCATTCTATGTGATTTCATTTTATCTTCTCTGTTAGTATATCAATTATACTTTTTCATCACTCTTTTTAATGGTTGCTATTAAGTTTGTAATATAGATTTACAACAGAATTAGTTGTAATTGCTAATTATATTGTTTTAGTTGTATTTAGTCCTCTTTCAAATAACACTATATCACTTAACATCTAGTCAATGACCTTATAAGTGCTCATTTCCTCCCTTGTGTCCCTTATATCATTTCTGTCAATCATTTACTTTTTCATAAACTATAATCACCAAATACTTTTTTACAATAATTACTTTGAATAAACTTATCTGTTAGATTTGCTTTTTGTTGTTGTTGTTGTTATGGTTGTTTGTTTTGTTTTTGAGACAAGGTCTCACTCTGTTGCTCAGACTAGAGTGCTGCAGCGTGATCTCGGCTCACTGCAATGTCTGCCTCCCAGGCTCAAGTGATTCTCATGCTTCAGTCTCCCAAGTAGCTGGGACTATAGGTGTGCACCACCATGCCCTGCTAATTTTTTTGTATTTTTAGCAGAGACAGGGTTTCACCATGTTTCCTAGACTGGTCTTGAACTCCTGAACTCAAGCAATCTGCCCGCCTTGACTTGCCCAAGTGTTGGGATTGTCGGTGTCAGCCACCTCACCCAGCCTCGTTAGATTAATTAACAAGAAAAATAAAGATTTTGTGGGTTATCAAATGCTTTATATTGCTAACCTTTTTAATTTTAGTAAGATAGTCCTGAAAGTGATATTGCTGGGTCAGAGGGCCTGTACATTTTATATCTTATAGATCCTGCAAGATTACTTTTCAAAATAGTTGAATTTTACCTTCTTGCCAGCAGTCTATGGGAAGTATGAGGTATCCCCTCCTTTTTATATTCTTGTCAGGACTGCATAATCAGTTTGTAAATGTTTTGGCAATCTAATGAGTGAAAGATCTTGTTTCGATCTATATTTACTTATTCGATTTATGTTTACCTACTTGATTCATATTTCATGTGTCATCTCACTGAGTTTGAGCATCTCATTGCTCCTGTGGCAATAGGGTTATTGGCTATTTCCATTTCCTTGATAGTAATGTTCCTTTCCATATCATTTGTCCATTTGAAATTTGATTTATTGTTCATTGAGTTATATATGCATACAGTAAACATAAAGATTTATTATAAAAAGTAGCAGTTCCTTTCTTGCTGTCTAGAGACAACTACTTTCAGCTGTTTTTGATGTTTTCTTTAGTGTTTATGTTATCAAATAATGTGCATATAATTTCTTTTAGCTTAAGGCTAAATTGTCAATTGTTCATTGACTTACAACAGTTTATCTCTCTTCCCTGCTTTTCCCACCAAACACACAAATACATATAGGTACCTAGTCCCTTCATTCTCCATCCGTGCAAATACTGTTGTGCAATCAACTTTTTAATGTTTTACTGTATTCACATTATTGTGAACACTTTTCACAGCTGAGCCATGTGGTGTTCTTTTGTTACTTTTCTACTCTTTCACAATTTTTGCTTTCTCTGGAGTTAATATTTTTTTTGTTGTTTGCGACAGTTTTCAGTGTACTTAGCTTTCACTGCAGTGCTAAGCCATCTACATGCTTTTTTCTAATTGACTAAATCCTCTCTCAGCATATTATAATACCAAACTCCATGAGTTTAATTAAAGACATCTGTTTTTGAGCCTTCCCACCTACTTTATTCAGAATGGGTTTCTGCCTCAGTTTTGTGCATAACTTT